TTTTTTTTTTTTTGTGATTGTAGGGGCGGGGCAGAGTTGGGTTTCTGAAACTCTCAGGGTGAATGAAGCTCTGGAAGAAGGCAAGTTATACCAAAACAGCATTTTTGGACTCCAGACTTTGGTTTAAAGGAATTTGAAATTTGAAAATAAACAGGAAAACTTAAAAGAGGACTCGTTTGTCTACCAGACTTGACAAGATTTCCAGCAGATTACCATCACGTATAGCAATGCACCTAGTTCTGCCGTGGTGGTTTAGCTTTTAAAACAGCTTTATGGATGTGTAGAGGTGTGCTTTTTCCAAATACATCTTATCGGGGGCTCCAATGTTACTTCAAATTCCCTTTAATTAGGTTGGAAAATGGCTCATAAAGAATTACACAAACAGAAGCCTTGGAAAGGATGTAAAACTTGCATAACTGCTTAAGATCTATCTTTTAAGGTATATCGTTTTTTAAACTGTTGTCTTCCTCATTGGCTTCAATGCAGTATACATAATTTACCCAGTTTTTCTCAGTCTTACCCCCACTCTGATGTCAGCCTCATTCTACAACACTAGCACCATACAGTATTTGTCCTTTTGTGACTGAGATATTTCACTCAGCATAATATCCTCCAGGGTCACCTATTTTGAATACTATTGCATAAGTTCCTTGTTTTTTAATGCAGCGTAGTATTCCATTGTGTGAATATACCACAGCTTCTCTATCCACTCGTGGGCGGGGAGAAAAGTGCAACAATGAATGAATGGAAATAAAAAATATCTGTAAATATTCATTGAAATTAATAAAAAAAGATATATCGTTATAAGAATTCTTGTGTTTATACCATGATAATATTGTTGAAATGTGAGAACTTACAAAATAAAACCTACAACAAACATCATTTTACAAATGTTCTGAGGTCTGAACAAAAATCCATTTGGGAGAGGTCAGACATAATAGTTTAAATTTTGCTGGTTTTGTCACCATTATGTAAGAGATTGGACCAATTGGCAGCGTCAGGATGGATGGCGAAGAGATCGAGATTGTTCACAGCTTCAGTTTGCTCGGCTCCACAGTCAACACTCTTGGTACCAGCAGTCAGGAAATCAAAAAGCGCATCGCGATGGGAAAGTCTGCTGTTAGGGACCTCTCTAAAGT